TAAAGGGCTCTAAGTAGAAAATCCAGTGAAATGGAGCCCTTGAACTCACCCTTCTTTTATTAATGGTCAAAACTAGTGTCTGTCAAAATCACAGTATCTGTCATTTAGTCCGTTTTCTGTTGCTGTAACAGGATACCTGAGACTGGATAGTTTATAAAGAGAAGAAGTTTATTTTGGCTCATGGTCATGAAAGTCCAAGAGCAGGGGGGCCCCTATCTGCTCAGCTTCATCAGGCCTCGTGGCTAGAAAGCAGAAAGAACACAGGTGCATAAGGAAGAGAGGGAAACTTGCTTTCTAGCAACCTGTGGTGGTGGAAATTATATTCCTCCCTCGTAAAGGGGGTGTCTCTCTCCTAATTGTCTCTATCTATCTACCATCTATCTGATATCTATCTATCTATCTATCTATCTATCTATCTATCTATCTATCTAAGATAGAGTCTCACTATGTAGCCCAGACTGGCCTCAATCCTCCTGCTTCAGCCTCCCGAGTCCTGGGATTACAGGTGTGCACCACCACATCCAGCTCCTAACTCCCTGCCATCTCCCAACATTGCTACATCAAAGAATCCACCCTCAACATGGGTTTTGGTGGGGACAGACCAAAGCAGTGTCCTGTCAGCTTCCAAAAGGAGCATACCACTCAGAGCAGTGTTACCTAGAAATGCAAGGGGATTGTGAGAAGTCTGATGATGAGATCCGGTGAGGAGAATAAAAATGCTCATGCCCTTGATGAAGAAAACCAGGTGAGTGCCTCTACTTGGAGAAAGTTTCGGTGATAGTGTATGTTTCAGTACTGTGGCTCAGGCACCCTGGGGACCAGAACCTTGGTGTGTGTGTGTGTGTGTGTGTGTGTGTGTGTGTGTGAAATCTTAACAACTGATGACTTCCCTCATGGTCAAGTGAACCCAACACTTCCTCCCAAACTCCGGTTGCCCCTGGGGGCCCCTCAGTCTCCATCTCCTCAGGACAAGAGGACTGGCATGGCTTCTGAACTCTCACAGAAGACAGCGAGCTCCCCTGGGCCCCACTACAACCTGTCCTTCGTGGCCAGATGTGTGCCCTGGCCTGAGGAGCCGAGGTGCAGGACAAACAGGGCAAAGGAAGCACATGCAGAGCAATATTTTCCAGAACTGTGCTGCAGAACCCTTTTCTGCAGAAGCCTGTTCAGCCACATGTTTATCAGGGGCAGGTGGCATGGACTGGATTCCGGGGCCTGCACTGAGGGGATTTACCAGAAATGCCTGATGACATGCACTTCTCCATGGGTGACGCAACGCTATTTGAAAACAGTTGTCTTCGGGCGCTCAGCGTCCAAAGTTCTGTGTAATAAGTGTCTCAGAGTTTGTGCGAAGGGCTGGGTGGGGCGGGGACTTTTCCCTTTTTACCAGGAGAGTCATGCAGCAAAGGAGCTGTTCCCCTTTCTGCTCAAGGAAACAGTGAGTCACCCGATGGTCTCCGCAAAGCCATCAATCCCTGTGATTAGCATAGTGACTTCCTTCTTCTCCCCACACGCACACTATTTTGATGTTATTTGACACTCGGTTATTGCACCCTTTTGAAAAACACACTGGGACAGTCACAGTCTAAATGTGTTTCAGGGTTGCTAAGGAAACATGGTCCAGTGATGAGATGTAGTGCTGTTACATGGTGATATAATATCTACACACCATGGGGGGCCATAGTCACACCTTGGGACACCTTCCCCAGACTTGGAGCCATTTTTATACAAACATAGTTGATATAGCACAATTGATATAGCACAACTAATGGTCACAGTGTCCCAGACTCCTGCAGAGGCTGGTCAGGGACGGGCATGAGGATAACTCTGGCCAACCAGACTTGCAGGCAAGGTTGCTAAGGGCCTCTTAGAAAAGTGTCCTCACTTTTAGAAGTGAGACAGTACTGTCTTTGTGGCAGCTTGAGAGTCCTGGACTTGCTTCTGCCATTGTGGAAAAACAGGACACAGGTTGGAGCCACAAGAGAAGCTCTAGAAAGGGTCCAGGCACATGACCCAACACCTGTCTGTTGTCCTTGCTGTGGTTTCAATGTGCTCCCTGGGGGCTCAAGTACTGGAAGCTTAGTCCTCAGCATGGTGTTGTAGAGGCAGTTGGACCTTTGGAAGGTGGATCCTAGTAAGAGCAATTAGCTCACTGGGCATCACCCTCAGAAGGGATTAATGCAGCTCTTATGGGAGGCTGGTCCCTAAAGAGCAGATTGTTGTAAAAAGATCAAGAATGGTCCCTCAGTTTTTTCCTTCCCGTGTTGGCATGTCATCTCTGCCACATGTGCTCTCACCACTATGATGCCATCTACTTTCAAACTGTCACCAAAGCCAAACAGATGCCAGTGCTGTGTTCCTAAACCTTCAGGACTGTGCTAGTAAGCATTTTCTTTACAAGTCACCCTGCCTCAGGTGTTGTATTATAACAACAACAAATGGACTAATACTATGCTTAAGCCAAGTTGAACTGTGATTCTTTTTCTTTCACCCTAGAGCATCACCACAGATCCAGGCTCCTTCCAAAATCTTTGATGCTCCTGGCCATTAGACAAATTTGCCTTCTATCATCCAACCTGCCCACCCCAGCAAGTGACTGAAGCTTAGCTGACTTGAGGCCAAGAAGTAGATGGCAGCTTCCTGGAAAATAGATTTCCCACCAGGGTGTAGGGTTTGTTTCCTGGAGAGGAATGCTTATTTCTAATGCACTGAGGGGAGGAGTGAGGAGGCCCAACCTTACCTTCCTCAGAGAAACCTTGCTCTTTGAGTTTTATCCTGTGTATTGAAGTCAGTAGTCTGATTGTGGTCTCATCCACTGGGGTCCTAAAGAAAACTCGGAGGGAGTCAAATGTCAGCATGTCCCCAGAGGTAGCCAGAAAACATTGGGGCAAGAAGCAGTCTGTGTGGATGAATCAGGGGTCAAGGCACAGTCAGAGGAGCCCCTTCCAGAGAGGGCAGCATCTGGGGCCTCCACCCACGGCTCTCACAAAGCATGGGCCTGCCTCTGTTCTGGCTGCTGTGAGCTCACGTGTGGACTCTCCACTCAGATGTGCTCCAGGTGGTGAAAGGTGAGGCAAGTCTCTTCCTTTCCCGAATCTGAGCCAGGTGCTGCCAACCATGAAACCTGGGCTCCCCTCCAAAGCGGGGCCAGTCAAAAATCCCTTTGGATCTTCCCCTTCGGCTGTGAGATGTGATCAAAATACGAACAGACTTGCTTGGATTTCTTTCTGGATTTGTACCATTCTATTTTTTGTATTTAAGTTTTAATTCTTCAGATGTTTATTTTTCTATAGGGTGTGAGATGGGTGTTATGATTTAGGTCAAAGATGTCCCCCAAGGCCTCATGCATGCATAGGCAGGGCTTTTAGAAGGTGATTCAGTCATGGGGGTGATATAACTGACTCACTGCTAGGAAGTAGAGTCTATGCAAAAGAGGTGGGTCACTGGGGGCAAGACCTGAGAGGGTGCATCTCCCCCGCCAGCTCCTGGCTTCCCTCTCTGCTTCCTGGTCACCATCATGTGAACAGGTTTCCTATGCCAGACTCATCTACCACGGCATTTCTTTGCTTAAGCTTCTTCTGTATTTAAGCCTGCAAAATGTGGAGTGAAACTTCTGAAAGGAGAACTAAAATAAACCTCTCTTTCGTTAAGTTGTAAAGGAGTTAGTTTTTCTTTTTATTAGCAAATTCTCCATTTGTTAAATTATGATTAGGGCACAAGGTCTATCAAATTCTTAGTTTTTAAATTTCTTAAGATCTTCTTTGTGCCTCAGAGATTACTTAATTTTTATCAGTGTTATATGGCAGATGCCAAAATGTACATTCTCCGTCTGAGGAACGGAGCATTTCATTTGTGTCTAATTGACTTTCTTGATCATTTTATTTGTATTTATTTATGTTCTTAATTCATTTAACCTGGTTCAATTGTGTAAACAGAATTTTTGAATTTCCCTCTTTGACAATATTTTAATTTGCATTTTAATAATTTTCATTAAGCTTTAAATTTTAATTTGTGTATTTGCATGCTGTTGTAAGAAAAAAAATATAAGGAGTATTAGCCCAAAAAACATTGAGGCAGGGGCTTCCAGACTCCAAAAGCTATGAATAACTTGGAAAAATCTGCCAGATTTAACTCTTGTGGAATGTTGGAATCAAGAAAAAAACTACTACCACGAGAGAAAAGCTGAATAAAGAAAAGAATTGCTCAATTTCAGTTAAAGGAAAAGAAAAAAGATAGTATGATTCATTCGTAAGAATAAAAGAAACTAATAAAAATTATCTTTGAGAAAGCCCAGGCATTAGACTTGCTAGAGAAAGACTACAAATCAACTTTCTTAAACATTGTCAAAGAATGATAGGAAATTATAGGAAACAAGGAAGGGAACCAGGAGTATAATGTCTGAACAATTACAGAGAGAGAAATCATAAATAGGAACCACACAGAAATTCTGGTGTTAAGAAGTATAATCGGAAAAAAAGAAGTATAAGGACTAAAATGAAAAGTTAATTAGAGAAGTCTAACACAGATGTGAGGGGACAGAAAAACAAACCACAGAACTTGAAGACAGGTCTATTGAGATCATCAAATCTGAGGAGCAGGAAGATTAAATGAATGAAGAATCAGCTGGGTGTGGTGATACATGCTTGTAATCCCAGCACTTGGGAGGCTGAGGCAGGAGGGTTGCTGAGAGTTCAAGGCCAGCCCATGCTACCTAGTGAATTCAAGGCTGGACTACACAGCAAGACCCTGTCTAAAAAAAGAATGAAAAATCAACACACTTAAATTGATTTTAGGTGTGATATCCAAAGTACAAGAAACAAAATAAAAATAGGTAATTTTGACTTCATCAAAAGGAAAACCAGTCAATATTCCTTGTAAATATAGATGTGACGATCTGAGGGAAAACATTAATAGCTAATATATCTACAAAGGTCTGTTGTCCAGAATATTAAAAGGACTTTTGCAATTCAACAATAAAAACTAGTTAAAAAACTGACAACGGATTTAAATAGGCATTTCTCCAAGGAAGTAGCGCAAATGTTCATAAAGCACCTTGAACAGATGCTCATCAGGGCGGGGTGCTGCTCGGTAGCCGTGTGCTTGTCTAGCATGAAAGAAATGCTGGGTTCTATCTCCAACAATGCCAAAAAAACTCTTTGTCTTTAGTTTTCAAAAGTTTAAATGCGATGTGCATTGGTATGGATATTTTCAGATTTACAGAATCTCCTCCTGAATCTCTAGTTGTATGACTTGCACCAAGCTGAGGATTTTCCAGCCATTATTCCCCTCCCCTTGAACGCATGTGTCCCGCCGTCCTTGCCGCTGTCTGAAGCGGTTGTGGAAGTCCTCTTTCTTAGTTCTGAGTGTTCTTAGTTGTGTTGTCCTGGCTGCCTCAGTGTCCTGAGTCAACGCAAAGCGTCTCCCTCTCTTGGTTGCTTTAACTTTGGGGAAGAGCCGGAAGTCACACGGTGCCAGGTCCGTTCAGTAGGGTGGATGAGGACCCCGCCGTGTTTTCACCAGCCGCCTTCCTGCTGCCCGGCTGTCAGCAGCAGCACTCATATTTTTGATTACAGCTTGTGAAGCCACTCGGGGGGTCCCACACAGATGTGAGGAGACAGCGTTAACACCAATGCATAGTATTCTTGAAAATTGCTGAGAGAGGAGGTTGTAAGTGATCTCACCTAAAAAAGGAAAAATAGAAGAGGTAATACATACACCCATTATACAGTATACACATATTTCAAAACATCACATCATACATGATAAATACATATGGTTTTCATTTGTCAATTAAAAAATAATTTTTCAAAATAAAATGTAACAAACTTTTCTTCCCAGAAATCTTACCTCTGGCTCTTTATTTTGTGAAATTGAAAGTACCATGGTCTAAGAGCTTTTGCATGTAGATTTTGTGCTGAAAACTGGACTCCAGACCAATGAAATCAGCTGAAGGAACCCCATTCATCCAGAGAAGAGAAAATGCAGCAGTCACCCAGGGACACAAGAGTGACAGAGAGAGTATCGTTGTGTTGTATTCACTTTGAAGTAAGTGCGGACTTCTGGGAGGTGAGAGAACACAGCAAATAATTCCCATCGTCCCCTTCATTCCGTTCTCCAGCTCTGAATGTAACCACATCCGTACCTCCTCCCCACCTTCTGGATAGACACAGATAACTTTTCAGTTTTTACTTTTGCCTAAATAGTTCAGTATATATTTCCTACAAATGAAGACTTTTTAAAATGTAATCACAAAGTCAGGGAGTAAACACTGGTGTAACATTATTCCTTAATGCTCAGCAACTCAAGTCCTTTAATGGAAAAATAAATAAGGCTTCAAGGACTAGTCTAGCTCAGCCTAGCTCAGACTCCACCTCGAATGTCATGTCTCCTTGTTCTGAGACGTTTCCTCAGTCCTACAGAGAGCCCTTCCTTGTCCTTGTTGCGGCCCAGGAAGCTTGTGTTTGTGATCCCACGGAAAAGCTGCTGGAATTCTAGCAAGTTAATTCCAGTCTACCACTGCCTGTGCAACTGATGGCCAGAAGAAAGCCACTAAGGCATATTTGTATTAGTTATGGGAAGCCAAGGGGCGCTAAGTCCAGTCACAATGATGGCCACCCGGAACAAAGGCCTTGACACAAGGCTGAACCCAGGTTTTATTCATTCATGAAGAAAGGAGTGGCTTGAGGATGAATGCCTGTGAGAATGGTAGGAAGTAGGTGAGTGCTGTGAGCTGGGCTAGGTAGGAGGCCTGAAATCACCTCTGCAAATGCAGAGAGAAGGATATGCAGAAAGAGTCATCTGCATACCAAATTTGAGGTAGTATGTGATGTTTGGGGCCAGTGCTTCAGCTCTGATGTGTAATTTTTTATGCCTTGGGAAGCCATAGCGTCTTATCTCAAGGTTCCATCCCAGCCAACAGCGTAGAGCATGGCTCTCCATTCTGCCCTGGCTCACACATATTTATTTGGGAGCTATGGTTGGGGCAACACTGACTTGTCACCTTGCTTCAAAGACTACGCGTCAGCACCTGGCTAGACTGATTTGCATTGCTTAAAGCCAACTGAGGGGATAAGGAAAAGTCCCAGCCAGTTCTGTACACATCAGTACATGGAGATAGGGCCGGGTTCAGCCAAAATCGAGATAATTGCTCTTCTTTCAAGGGGAGGTGTCCAGGCGTCCTCCACATGGTCCCTAGTGCTTCTCTTCACCTTGACATTTCTGAAGGGCACAGGCCCGAAGTTCTGCACGCCCTGCAGTTTGGGCTACTCGGATGTTTCCTCAAAATTAGATGCTGATCATGTATTTCTTGGCAGGAATACCACAAAAGGGATGTTGGCCTTTTTCTGTATATATTCTTTTTTTCAAGTCAGTGGTTTTTAATACATTCGCAAAATTGTGCAACCATCACTACTTCCTAATTTTAGAACATTTTCATCATCCACAGAAGTAACATCCTAACCCCACGCACTCCGGCCACTGCCCTCCAATGTCCCTGACTCTAAGCAACAGGTTGTCTATTTGTAGCCACTGTAGATGGGCCTCACCCTGACAGTTCTTGTAAATAAAACTGCACCACACGCAGTGCTTTGTGTGTGTCCGGCTTCTTTGTGTTTCACAGTGTGTTTTCAAGGCTTGTCCATCCTGCACCATGTATCAGTGCTTTCTTCCCTCTTCCGTTGGTGTGGCTAGCCTAGGCTTTGATTCCACTCTCTGACTCTTCTGAGTAAGTCCCTGTGAACGTGTGTAGCTGAACTTTTGTGTGCACCTGTGTTTGCAGTTCTCTTGGGTGTACCTGGGAGTGAAAGGAGTATTTGAAGTGATTTAGGAGTCGGGTTGTCTAAGACATAGAACTAACATAAATCATGTCCATACGTTAAGATTCCCGACAGGCTCATCCTGGAAGACCAAGTTTGCAGTGTGGGTCAGTGCGCGGAGACCCCAGACAGGAAACGGGAGCTGAAGTCGGAAAGCAGTCAGAGCAACCTGCTCTCTATTCCTTCTGTTCAGAAGCTCAGCTGATTGGACGAGGCCCGCTGCTTTATGGCGTTGCTTTCCTCAGTTCTATACATTTCAAAGTTATGTTCGTTCACACTCACAGGAACATCCAGAATGATATTTGCCCAGCCTGCAGCCCAGTCCAACGGGCACAACATTCATCCTCATAGCAAAGCACTCCTCAGGAGTAGAAGCAAGGTGCAGAGAAAAGCGTGCCCATGAAGCTATTTTATAACATAATGACCCAAAGTCCCCACGTATAGTGTTGCCTTGGTTCACAAATGCTTTTGTTTGCCAAAAATTTAGTTTGCAAACAGAAGTGTTTGGCAAATTTTGCTTCTGTTCATGAGCTCTGCATGAGTGACAAACACAGCTGTATCATCTTCTCCAGTATCGCAGAAAGAAGTTCTTGGGCCGAGGCACTGCTGCATCTCTGTAAAATAAATGAGCACACCAGCTTCCTAGTTTTCCTGGTGGGGCGGGGTCTGAACAGGAAAATTAAGACTATTCATTTATTTTTTTGGAGGGTGTACCAGGGATCGAACTGAGGATCTTGTGCTTACTTGTGCCACTGGCCCTAAGACTATTTAAAAACTCTATTTGTATGTATGTATTCCAAGCATGTAAAAATCTCATAGTGTATGTGTATTCACTCACAGATATCTGAGAAGATGACCACTACAAAGTTAATGATTGCGTGCAGATATGGAACTTCTAGTCTCCCCCTTTAAAATTCTATACTCAAATATTTTTCATGTATATGGTTTACACAGGCTCAAAAATTAACAAAACTGAGCTGGGCGTGGTGGTGCACACCTGTAATCCTAGCACTCTGGGAGGATGAGACAGGAGAATCACAAGTCTGAACAATTTAGCAACTGTGTGAGGCTCTGTCTCAGAATGAGTGAAAAAAGGGCTGGGATGTAGCTCAGGGTGAAGGTCTCAGTACTGACAAAAAGTAAATAAATACATCAACTAGACCTTCTCCATGGCACAAGCAGACACGGGCCTGAGGCCGCCCCAGTGCTCCAGGCCCTGCCCCTGCTGGCTAGCCCAAGCGTCCCAGGCCGGGTTTCGGGTCAGGTGCCACAGCGACTCTTTCAGGGCAACTCCAGCCTTGCCGGAGCCTGGGGCTCACAGCGGGGTTCACCGAGGAGACAGCAGAAGGAGGCTGTGCAGATCCGGCAACTCAGAAGGGCCAAGATTCTGCCGGCCGTGGTTGCCGGGCTGGGAGCTGCCCTCGCCCTCGGGGGCTTGCCCTGTGCTCATGCTCAGCCTGGGGGTGGGCTGTGTCTCAGGCCAGGCTGGGGGAGCTGGCAGGGACGGGACCAGGCTGCGTGGAGTGTGTGGGCCCTCACTGGGCGTCCACTCAGGGGGTGCTTGGGAACCTCAGGGCAGCAGGCAGCGGCACCCTGGACCCTGGCTGCTGCTCCACGTTGGGAAGGCCCAGGGTGTGGCCGGCACGGTTCTGTTCCGGCCAGGCCTGGCTGGCACTGAGCACCTGGAGCTCACACAAGCCACGTGGCCCTGTCGTCTGAGACAGGAGCTGCGCACCCCTCCTTTCCACTTGTTCTGATATTGTTCCTCACTCTAGCATCCATGAATATGTCATTTTTGTTTGTTTCTTTGATTGCTTCTGAGACAGGGTCTCCTTATGTAGTTCAGGCTGGCCTCAAACTCAGTGATCCTCTTGTCTCAGCCTCCTGAGCACTGTGATCACAGGTGTGCACTACCATGCACATGAATATTCATGTCATGAATATGTATTCTAAATATTCACTTCATGAATATGTAATGTAGAAAGATCTCTTTAATAGAAATTTAGGCCTTCCATTTTTGTTCAGTAACCAGAAAATCTTCGGGTACAAGCAGACCAGCGTGTGCCTAGACCTGGGGGCCTAGGGGGTTGGGGTGCTGGGTGAGGAGCATAGGGGAGGGGTTTGTACCCAGCTCTGTCCCCACCGGGTGAAGGCAGTGGTGACTGGAGCCACAGCTGAGCCCGACGGGGCATTGCAGTGGGTAATGTCGTGCGTGCCGTTTGTGTCCCTGAAACCAAAGACTCCTTGATATTTGCTTGGCTTGCTGTGGGCTTGCCACAAATAGTTTTCTCTTTCCTTTCTGGTAGGATCCATTCTTGATTTAGAGAGAAATGATCTGAGACAGTTCATGAGCCCTGTGGCATTTCCGAGGCTTCCCCCTTGGGAGTCAGGACTGGTCACCTTCTAGGCCCGTGCAGTGGCTGTCGCGCCAGCCTCAGTCCGTGGCAAGAGGCCCCACCCCCCACTTCTGTCCCCCACGGTGGAGGTGATTGACAGGCGAGGGAGTGGTCCAGCTGAAGTGAGGTGGCTCCTTCCTCTCCCCCCTCTGTCCTGCACCCACGTGCATGTGTGCACCCTCTTAGCCAAAGATCAGCCCGGAGGTGGGGTGGGCTGGACCCCAGAGTGGCGAGACCTCTGGACCGGTCCGCTCGAGGCCATTTGGGCCCAAGAGTCCTGTGTGGGGCAGAGCTGGACAGAGCTGGGGAGAAGGGAGGAAGTTCTCCCACAAAAGAGACACGTTTCCCTCCGTTTCAGGGTACATCTACCCCCTATCAACACCTCCGGAAAGAGACTTACTCTAAGGGATGGACCCCCGTGCCCCTAGGCATGGCGACAGCTGTGCCTGCCACCTGCAGCTGCAGCCCAGCACCCCAAGAGGTGCAGCGCCAGCGGGCCGGGCGTGGCCTCCAGCCCAAGTTCGAAGCCTAGAGCCAGGGGCACGGAGGGCAGCGAGGCCCTATCCCTGCCACTTGGTGGTCGTGCGGATGAACCAGCCCGTGTGGGCCTTTGTGATCCATGCAGGCCCTGGGATGGGCTGCTGCCTGCCCCACTGCCCACCCACTCGTGCTGGTCTCACCAGAGAATCCTCACCTACATGCCTACAAGGAGTGCTTCACCAGCTAGCCATCTGGGCATCCCACGGCTGGTGATGTTCACACTAGAACTAACCTGACCAGGGGTTGGCTGTCCCTGAGTGCCCCAGTCCCACCAGGACCTCCCAGTGGAAGTCAGGGTCCCCTCCAGCCGGGTTGCCATCTTGGTGCTCTTGTGGGGTGAGGCTATTCCCATGGTTCCTGGCTGTGATGATCCAGCCTGTGCGTGTCCACGTCTACGGTGCTGGGAAATGAGGCATGTTCTGCAGAAATCACACTGGAATGCAAGCACGTTGGGGCCACGCTGTCCCGGGGCAAGGAACTGAGGATGTGCGACAGGTGTGTGGCGAAGTGAGGGTGCTCACAGCTTGTCTGTGTTCAGCTCGTTTCTGACTAGCAGCTTACTCAACTTACAATGGATTTGCTGGACTGCAACGGCACGGGGGACCGTGGGACAGTGCTGCTCGATTCACCCCACTGATGTTGTTGTTAATGGGAGGAGTTGGACCCAGGGCCTTTGCACTGAGCTCCATCCTCTGTTATTTTTATTTTTATTTTGAAACCGGTCTTGCTAAGTTGCCCAGGCTAGGCTCAAACTTCTCATCCTCCTGCCTCATCCTGCGGGGTGCTGGTGTGGGACGGCAGGGGTGCATCTCCACACCTGGCTCAATTCATGTCTTTGAAACATTCGGACATAAAGCGTGGGCACCATCGCCTTCTGTTACCATGGACGCCCTTTCTCTGTAGTTTCCGTGACATCAGGCTTGTCTTTGCTGAGTTTAGCTTTTTCTCAAAACCAAATGGCTCAAATGATGATTGATTATTTCATATGGTTTCCGGGGACAACCGGGTCGTCGTTCTGCCTGTGCTGGCTTGGAGGAGCTCCTTGCTGGAGACTGGCTGGCGGGGTGGCTCAGCGCCGGGGCCTGTGTGGCCGCTTGTGCTCCCGCAGGCCAGCTTGGGCTTGTCAGCAAAAGGACGGGCGCGTTCCCAGCACAAGAGCAGTAACGGGAAGGCCTCGGAGGGGCTGAGGCTTGTCCGCCACACCCTGCTGGTCCCAATCACCAGTCATGACCCTTGCATCTCTTCGTGAGAATCCTCCAAACTGCTCCATTTTTAAGAATTGGATGCATCACAGAGCTGAGAAAGGTCACCATTCCTTCTGTGATGTACCTGCTGACGATTTGTAACGGCAATCTGACCACGGGACAGACCCACAGTGCCGGCACCCTCCAGGATCGCCGGCCGGGGCAGAAATGTCCGCGCCTGGGCCTGGGGTACAGCTCAGGGGACAGCACCTATCTGCCCCGTGAGAGGTCCCGAGTTCCACCCTCTGCACCCACAACAACAACAACACAAAACCAAGACATCAAGGTTGGTGGACAGCGTTGATCAAAATAAGTTCCCAGGGCAGCCCAGATTCAAGGGTGGGAAAGCAGAGGAAAAGTACTTGTAGAGCTTTATTTATTTTTGCAATACATTAAAAACACATACCTGTGCGTGCTGGTGTATTTCCCAGCTCCGTGAAAGCGCCGGCCCCAGTCCTTTCCTCTGAAGGAGGCATGGAAGGAAACAAGCTGAGCTCTTACCTCTCCACATCAACAGTGATGTGGGAGATGAGCACCCAGCTGACCCCACCAGGAGGACGGGCACCGTCACTTTGGGCGGGGGCTTTGTGTCACGCCTGGGGACTGGAACAGGGGCCGAGGTCAGTGGCTGGGCTGTTTGTGCCTACAGAGTGACCCCTGAAGCTCGGTTTGGGGTCCCCAGTGGGTACACAGTGACTTACAGCGCTGGAAAGGACCTTGTCTGTCTCCGCTGGGCAGTACTCAGAAGAGGACCTCTGTGCTTTGTTTTGCTTTTCTCTGGCTGGCGTGAATCTGTAACTGTCTCCAGCGATGACCTATTTCTTGTGTATACGACGGCTGTCAGGCAGCTCCAGGACCTTCTAGCAACTCTAGAACAGATCGATTTGGGGTCCACCCACATGTGCCTTGAAGCTAGAGAGACCCCACACGGGGCTGTGTGGACTGGTTTGCACCCTGGCAGTTGGCTGAATTCTAATTGCAACCTCCCAAGAAACCCCCCAGCTCTCCGACTGTTCCTCTCTGCTCTTAGGCTCCATACCAGTAGGGGGGGCACGGCATCCCTCTTTTCTCCGAGGATGTTCCCGTTCCCTCTTCCCCCTCTTGTCCGTGTGCTGGCTTTCGGGTCCCCGCTTCCTGCTGGGCGCTTCTCCGAAATGTCCAGTGACTCATGCTGCCCATTCTCGCCTGTGTAGGATGAAGCCTGAGGCGGCTGATTGAAACCTTGGGCTTGTCGCCAGGGGGGTCCCTGGGTGGTGAGGTTGTTGGTGGCCTTTCTACTGAGGGACTCCCAAACACGGAGCTGTTTTCTCTGTGGTTTGGAGACAGGGGAAGTGTCTCACTTCTTGTGGTGGAGAGCTACAGACCCGGCCGAGGGGATGCCAGAAACAGAATTGTGGCTGGCTCCGAGGAGACCATTCTTCCTTCGGTCTCTGACCCTGGATTTCCCCTGCTCTCTGCAGGGGCCGTCACCACCTTGACTTAATTTGCATGGAGACTTGGCCTCTGACTCTTCCGGATTGGCGTGCGGGTGGGGACAGGTGTCACCTGGCTGCTGTCCGCTCTTTACTGGCAGCATTTAATTTATCTCTTACTGTGCTGCCGCATTCTGCCGTCCTGTAGCTTCTGCCCTTGACTTGTCACCTGGGCCAGCGGCATTCAGACATTAAATCAGCAAGTGTGGTGTTCTAGGGGATTGGGAATATTTCAGGCCCCAAATGTTAGGTCAAGCAAGCAAAATGCAAAGAACTAAAGTCTTTGCCTTGAACAGATGCTTTTTAAAAAAATTGTGGTACTGATGGTTGAACCCAGGGGCGTTCTACCACTGACCTGCGTCTTCAACTGTTTTTGTATTTTATTTTGACGCAGGGTCTCACTAAGTTGCCTGGACAGGACTCAAACATGATCCTCCTGCCCTACTGCAGGAGAAGGAATGCTCCACAGGCAGACAGTGCCCACTCCAGGTGCGGGTCCCGGGTGCGGGTCCTGGATACAGCCAGGAGGCAGTGCTCTGAGTCTGGAGGGGGGGCAGGCTCAGGCAGGAGACGGGAGTGGAGAGCAGCCAGTCGCCTGGCTCTCTGTGGTCTCCCCAGCGGGGTGCTCCTGCTTTCCTGGGTACCAGGTGCAGAGCTCCGAGCAGGGCGCTGGGTGCTTCCATTAGAGCAGCTGAAGCGGGGTCCGGGGGACCCCCCAGGATGACACCAAGAGCACTGGGGTCAACAAACTCTCCATACCCCCCAGGATGACACCATGAAGCCCAAGGTTTCAATCAGCCGCCTCAGGCTTTATCCTACACAGGCGAGAATGGGCAGCATGAGTCACTGTACATTTCGGAGAAGCGCCCAGCAGGAAGCGGGGACCCGAAAGCCAGCACATGGACAAGAGGGGGAAGAGGGAATGTGAACATCCTCGGAGAAAAGAGGGATGCCGTGAAGAGCTGGCCCCAGGGGAGCTGCCCTTCTGCTGCCACCGTGCTGGTGGTACTTCAGAGGCCACCCACGGTCACTGAGGTGATGGCTCGTCACATTCTTGCTCTGGAAATTGGGAAACTGCCACTGCTCCCACTGCAACAAACTCTCCATACCCCCAAAGCTGGAGAGTGGCCTCACGAGCCCCCATAACTGTGCTTGGCGGACAATGGTCATGGCGCTCTTGGGTCTCCCAAACCTCGAAGACGGACTGGGAGCGGGGGCTTGGTTTGCATCTGGAGCCCCAGCAGCAGAGCTCTTTGGATCTGCAGTGCTGCGAGGCTGGACTGAGCACCAGGCACCACTACCCAGGCTTTGCCCATTATCTTAAACACGGGCCATCAGTCTGGGGCCTCAGACGTGGTTAGTGGCACTTCCTGCAGCAGCTGTGCTGTGTGGAAAGCTGGCACGCCGTGATGCTTGGGAGGGGTGGCGACTGCTGGGGTCTGAAGTAGGTTCCCTGGGCTTTCCCTCACTCCCTCACTTGAGTTGGGTCTTGCAGGGGTCTCCAAAAGCTGATTATTTTATTCATAAAGAAGAAACTTATCTTGCCTGGATTTTTGCTCAGGCACAGGGTACAGTGGCCCTAGAATTTGCAATAACTCTACTAGGGGCTGTATTGTCCACTTCCTACATTATAACAAAATACCTGAGGCGGGGTACTTCAGAAAGCAAAGAGGTTTCTGAGCATATCAGTCTGGAGATTCCAAGGCATGGTGCCAACTTCTGCTCAGTTCCGGTGAGAGCCTCTGGCTACGTCACAAGGTGGCTGAGACAGAAGCCGGAGAGCCAGGGCCCCCTGCCTTCTTCGTATAACAACTTCCTGCCACCGGAGCGCACTGGTTCTGTGAGAACTGCACTCACCCTGGTGTGGGAGGGGCCGTGTTTCCAGGCTGGAGGAGAGCTGCTCCCACATGGCGGATAGGAAGCGGAGAGAGAAGGGAGGAGCCATGTGATAGTTGACTGATTGTGTCATTTTGAATAAAAAACACCCCACTAAATTGGGTCAGCATAGCTCTGGGTGTGGCTGAAGGGCTTTACTTCCATAAACCCTCTCCAAAATCCTCCTTTGGGCCTCAGGCTTATTCTTCCTTTTGGGGAGACAAAGGACTCAGGTTTATGCACAATGCATTGTCTCACCAGGAGCGCTGTCCTCGGTCCGGAGGTCCTGTTGTCATCCACCTGGGTCTGGGAATGGCAGGTGTCGCCGGAAGCCTGACCCAAGCTTTTGGTCCGCAGGGCCTGTGTCCTGGGTGTTGCTGGAACGGCCCTTCGGGTGAAATGAATGAACAGAATGTAAAGGTCGGCTACTGTCAGTGGTTGAGGGGATCAGTGCAAGCATACATGCCTGCATTTGGCGGGGACTTACAGGGCGGGTGGAGGCAGTTTCCTCGGACCCACCAGAGGGTAGACCGTCTATGGTGTAGACCGACCTTGTGCACAGCCCACACGGTGGGAAGTTGATGTCCCGCTGCAGACGCTACCCAGCTGCAGCACAGCCTTGAAGAAGCCATGGCAAGATCATCATCACCACTGAGTGTTTCGGGATCGTGCAACAGCCCGGCCTCAGGCAGCTTGCCCAGGGCCCCGCCGCACTCCCAGGCTCTGTCTGCTGCGCTATTCACCACAGGATTCTGTGCCACGCAGTGCCCACTGCACAACACACACGCGACGTTCCTCAGCCCGGCATGGAAGCCTGGCCCCCCTCACACCTGCTGAGCTCAGTTTGCACACTTAGGACACAGCTGGGTGTGGTGGTGCACACCTATAATCCTAGCACTCAGGAGGCTGAGGCAGGAGGATCACCACAAGTGCCAGGCTAGCTAGTGAGTTCAAAGCCAGCGTGAACTACATAGTGAGACCCTGACTCTCTCTCTCTCTCTCACACACACACACCAAACACAAAGTGGCGCATAAAGTACACAGTTTGATTGTGCTGACAAAGGGAACGGCATCCTGTCTGCAAAGCACCCGCCCTGCTTGCTCCCTCCCTGCCTCCCCAAGAGTTCTCTGCATTCCCAGCCCAGGACCCTGCTGGCACTGAGCACACTGACAGCAAAGCCAAGTGGCCAAGGTGCCTGTGAGGAGTAGCCCGAGGGGCCGCCCTGCGCAGGGCCTGGGGGCCTGGGGACCCACTGCACAGCCCACTGGGTCCGTCCCCAGGAGGAGGCTCCTCCATGTGGCTGCTCTACCCGCTCCGGGATGGTGCTGTGGTCTAGGGGGCGCCTGGCGCAGAGCCTCCTGAGCCTCCTCTGCACTTGATCTTAGCCAAAAGGCCGAGAAGCGATCTGAGCCTCCTCTGGAAGGCGGAGTTGGGCTTAGGGCTGGGATCGTGGCTTGCCAGGGCCTGCCAGGGTCCCAGCAGGAAGTGGAGACCCCAGTGTCTTTCTCGAGCCCCCCGACCCCTGCGGGGCCTCACCGGGAGCCCAGGGGTATAAGGGTAGCGACACCAGCTGCAGGCAGCAGAGGGCAGGGCACTCATGCTTTTGTGTCTTTGCACACGCAAAGGAAAATCCCGGCGCTTTGCTTCCTGGGCAGCTTGCCCGGCCTGCCCCACTGACGGCTTCTGTCTCCCTCCCTGCCAGGGAGAACCTGACCCGAGGGCGACAGCGGGATCGCATCGTCCTCTCCCTGGTACACAGTCCCCGACAGCTGGAGAGGCTGGCTCTCTGTGGGTGTCCCAGCCCAGCGCCCGAGCAGCTGTGACCCCGCGCTCTCCCAGAGCTCCTCCGCTGCAGGGAGTGAGGGCCACGCCCTGCCTCCCCAGAGGCCGGGAGAGGCCAACTCTGTGGACAGAGTCCAGGTGAAGTCCGTGGGAAGCTAAGGTCCCAGAGGGCACTGCCAGGCCTCAATGGTGGTTGAGCGGAGCTGATTGTCTGTGCGGAGGCCTCAGCTTGGTTCCCAGCCTCTGAGCCCACACTGACAATCCCTGGTGACACTCTCTGTGTCCCCCGGAGAGGCATCCTGGCTGCACCAGGTCACACTGGACTGAGAGAGCAGGGGCTCCTCCCATCCTGGGGCTTCTATAGCTGCTGCTTGAACTTAGGATCCCACCCCTGGCATGGTGGCACACACCTCTAATCCCAGCACTGGGATCCCGGGGCAGGAGGGCTGCAGCGTGCTCAAGGTCAGCCCGATCACACAGTGAGACTCTTTGTGTTAGGTCCTTAGAAAGCTCCAGGTAGCTGCTGAGAGTCTGGGCTGAGGGTCCTGGTCTTGGAAATTGCATGTGTAGAATGGGCGGCAGCCAGAACTTGCACAGAGACAGAGCTCTGTCCCGCAGCCTGCAGACCACGCCACCAAGGACACCTGCCGGCCACCCACGGGGACCAGCCTACAGGAGGCCAGAGCACTTCAGTCTTTTCTCTTTTCTGAAACTGGGTCTCCCTATGCAGTTCAGGCTGGCCTTGAACTCACTATGTAGCCCAGGCTACCCTTGAACTCACAGGGATCCTCCTGCCTCAGCCTCCTGAGGGCTGGGATTAAACCAGCATACCTGTCTTGAGGGTCTGGGAGACCTGATAGTCCTGCTTCTCAGCTTCAGCCACTCAGCCTGAACAAGCAGTTGGGAAATGCTCGGCCCTGTGAGGAGCAGGCTCCAAGGGCCTCGAACGGGCCACCCGGGGAGGAGGTGTTGCTTGGGGAGGGCCCGGCCTCGGGAATGGGGGAGGGGCAGAGGGGCTCAGGACCCAGAGATCAGGCCAACCGTGGGGTGAGCAGGGGCTCCAGGGCCCAGCGGGGCAGAGAGAGCCTCGGATTTGGGAAAGGAAGAGGGGCTGGGCTTCCCAGCTGCTCCTGGGCAGAATCCTGCCCGACTCAGCCTCTGAGATCCTCCCCGACTGGGCTCCTGTAGCTTGCTGCCTCAAGGCCGGGCCAGGCTGGCACTGGCAGGGAGTCTGGCAAGGCTGGCACCACCCTGAGCTCCACGCCGGCCCTGGGGCTCCCTGCATCCCTGCATGGGATGGGCCTGGGCCGCTGCTGGGCAGACTCGGCCAGGTTTCAGTCTCTGTGTCCCTGGAGCCTTGTCCCCTTGGCCGGGGGGTGAGTCAGTGCCTGCACCTGACCCGGTCCATGTTTGCGGTGCAGTGCCGCTGTCCCGACATCTCCCAGCGCCTTGCTCCGTGCCCAGCAGCTTCCAATGCTGGTTTAACCCTAAAACAACCCCAGAGGTGCTCTGAGGGTCTGCACTGCACGGAGGAGAAACCGAGCTGTGTGTCCAGCCACCCGCAAGCATGGGCATGGCCGCCTCCCCAGGGCAGGGCCGCGCCCCACCAATGGCCCCGGCGTTCCCGGCATGCGTGCTGCCCCCTGGCTCGCAGCAAGTCCCTCTGGGCACTGGGTCCTCTTCGAGTCAGGTGGATGAGGATGGTGTATGTGGTCCTCACATGACCTCGGTCACTCGGACGAGGGCCGGTGTGAGTGTCCCGCCACTGCCCTCCTGAGAGGTGGGCATGGGGCTGCCTCTGGGGGCCACAAGGCAGGGGCATCTCATCCCAGTCAAGCTGGCAAGGCAGCCACGCAGCCCTGATTCAGGAGGGAGCATTTGTGCCTGTGACTGGCTGACGTTCGTGTACCCCGCTTTGTGTGCTGGACCCTGACCCATGTGACGGTGCTGGGGACAGGCCTCAGAGGAGGGCCGGGGCGCCCCTCGCAAAGGGGGAATGCCTGGGCTTAGTGCCCTAATTAAAGGGACCTGCCGGGACTGCAGTGGGAGGGTAAGAGTGAGTTCTGGTGTTTTACTGCACGGAGGGGTTTACTGAGTCAACCGTCACGCAGTGTCCCTCTCAAAGCAGAAGAGAGGATTGTGAACACACTCATCATGTGGAGACAATGGGAGTTTAGCGTGCAGATTACCCACGTGGATCACTGCACAGCGCATACACGGGTCGCAGCTCACGCTGAACCCTGTAATGTGTACAGCTATTATGTGTCCGTCAAAACGGACAGTGAACTCCTCTGTCGGGATCACAAGATCTCTGCGGTCACCCTTGAGTGTGGCGGGGCAGATGGTGCGGCGTGGCTTCCCTCACAGCCTGCTTAACCCCGGGCTGCCTGTGTCAGCCGTGACTCAGATCCCAAAGCAGTCGGGTCCCGGGAGCGACGTGCCTGGTTAACCACGGAGCGGGCAGAAGCCTCCGTTCGCTGTTCATCTGTCCTTGTCCGAGACTAGGGCAGTTTTCAGGGAGCCTCCCTGTGGGGTGGACCTGAAACCCTGAAGCTTTGGGGGACCTCGGAGAGCTCTCTGTCCCTGTTTCTTGGGAGCTCTCTGCCTCCCCAGAACCTGGCTGGGCTCTGATTTTGGACTCCTTGGCTTGAGAGCTGAGAAGCATCTCAGGTTCCTGCCGTTTATAACTGCACTGGGTCACATGCAGCCGGACGTGACTGAGCCAGAAGCGACTGCCCTGTTTAATTTTGGGTCCTTGCTTCTAGGGTCAGATTAGCTGCGTCATGCAGAACGGATATATTAGAAAAAGCATTTGAAAGTCTGTTGAGCAAGTTCTGGAAGTGGATCCGGGCCAGCGGCATGTTCGGAGCAGCGGTGCCGGGAACAAGCAGGGCTGGTGATCCGCATCAGCACTTCACGGGAGGGGTGTGACTCTTCCCCGGAGCCTGTGGGCGTGCGCGTCGTCTTCGTCTGGTGCTTAGCAGCCCCGTCTCTCGTAGAAGGGATGAGAATGAACATTCCCTGCTCCTGTCCCATGTGTGTCAGCAGTATCTGTGCCACGGTCCGACCCGCTGGATGGCTCAGAAGCCTCGGGCAGACCTCAGGGTGAGCAGGTCGTGTCTGCCACCCAGACCAGATCTCGAAAGGATCCACATCTGCATATAGGGAGAGGAGCTTCCGAGACACACTCTGAGCTGTCATGGAGATATCTCTGTTGGTTCCACTTTGCTCCCCTGGAACCGCGTCCTGAGGGCCTAGGCCAGGGCTCCTGCAGGCAGGTGCGCAGACAGAATGCAGGGGAATGAACGAGAGGGTGCTGAAGCAGGCCCCGGTCCTTTGCAAGCTTGAGCCTAGGATCCCCTGGGTGCCCTGAGGAGCCCTGAGGTCACACACTGAGGCTCAGCTCTATCTGAGTCCTGCCCTCGTCCAGTCTCGATGCCACCTCAGTGGTATTAACTGTCCCTGGTGAGTCACCCTGGGGCGTGTCTTCCGCACTCACTGGCTCTCCTCCTGCCTGAGCGGAGACTCACACAATGGAGAAGGTGTGAGGTATGCTGCCCTCCGGGAGGCAACTCACTGGGCCCAGCCCCACCCTCCTGGTGTGCAGGTGACGTGGAGCAGGGGCCCGAGATGCACTTCCGGGGAGCCCCTGTGTGCAGCTGGAGCTAAGGGACAGTGGGCGGTGTTCCCCCAACTCTGGATGCCAGGGTCCTGGGCGCTTGCTTGGCATAGGGTGCTACCTCCATTTCTGTTGCCAGGTGGCACGTGAGCACCTGCATTTCTCAGAGCCAGGCCTCTGTCTCTGCTGCCCCTAGTGCCTCCCCAGGATTTCCTGCTTCCTGCCCCTCTAGGCCTGGCTCTTCACTTTCTCTACCCAGGACACCTGATGTTCTCCCTGTGCTGGTCTTTTTATTTTGGGATGGGGTCTTGCTAGGTTGCTAAGTTTTCCAGGATGGACTGCAACTTGGATCAAATCCAACCAGGATGATGGATTGACCCTTGTGCCTCAGCCTCCTCGATACTGGAATTGCTTAATGTCTCCACTTAAATACAGTATTCCACCTGCCAAGAGTCCAGGGCCATTCCTGACGGGTGTTGAAAAAGTGGTCTCTCCCAGGCCAGGTTCCCTTTCCCCTGAGTGTTCCTTTGTCACCCTCACGGGTGGGGTGGCTGCAGCAGCCCCTGCCGTGGGCCAATGCAATAGCTCTGGCGCTGCTGGGTGTAGCAGGCTGAGGTGGTCCCCACCGGAGTGTCACTTCCGGCGGAAGCATCAGTGCCGGGCTGTGGGGAGGGAGGATTTGGGGCTGCACAGGAGGATGCGTGGGGTCTTGAGTGCTGGATTGGGCCCGGGGGGCCATGGGGAGCAGCAGTAGACACTGAATCAGGAGCGGGCTCCTGCCATCCGCCCCCTGGGCCCACGTGAGGGCGGTGGGGGACAGCGGCCCATCATCACGCATGTTCTGTCATCCCTGCAATCCTCATCCTGTCCTAGCACCCCTCTTAGAGACTCTAGGTGATGAGGAGGAAGGGAACACAGGACCTGGACAAAAGCCCTTCTGTGATGAAGACTGGGTTCTCTTCAGCAGCAAAAGGAAATCTCTCTGTGAGTCTCAGAAGGTCGCTGCGTGCTCTGTTTCAGTTTTCTGGAGAGCTGTAACCCTGGATGGGAAAGGAAGGGGGCTGTTCCGGTCCCCTCCGCAAGCTTCTGCCTCGGATCGAGACGCACACGCTGTGAGGGCCGGGAGGAATCTGAGCCTGTGGCAGGTTGAGCAGAGGAACCCAAAGCTGGCTCCGTCCTGCTTCCGGGAGCAGGGAGCACCGTGCTGCCTACGGTGGCCCAAGGGGCTCTGCAGATGGGACCAGGGATTTGGAGGTGACGGGGGAGCAACATGCGGGCAAGGAGACTCAGGCTACTGTCACAGCGGGAGAAATCCTCTAGGGACTAGGAAAGGCCCAAGGGGCCAGGTGTCCCCTGAGCCTCCCAGAGGGGTCAGCATTGTCCAGGACTTGACCTCATCCGCAGGAAACTCGGCTTAGGCTCCGACCATCACCACAGCGGGGGGCTGTGTTTGGCCACTGGTCGGGGTGATTGGCAACAGCAGCAGGATTAAGACATGGACTGTTCTTTTTCTTTGAGATAGGATCTCGCTAGGTAGCTCAGTCTGTCCCTGAGCTCACTGTATAGCCCAGGCTGATCTCAAACTCATGATAATCCTCCTGCCTCAGCCTCCCAAGTACCTGGAGTGCAGGCATGCACCACCACATCTGGTTTAAGACATGGATTTATTTCTGTCATTGCCCAGTTGATGAAGAATTCTCAATTTTATGAGATCTTACTGCTAAATGTATCCAAAAGGCTTGATGACTATATTCTTGCATCAGAATTACGGGATTTTGTTCTGATAAGCATGCACGAACTTGTAGGGAAAATAGGCCAGAGTACTGGGGGGCTGCGGCTGTCCCTTAAACCGAGGCCAAAAACAGGACAGTGTGGCCAGGAGAGCCTCCTCTCTCCACGCATGGACAGAGAGGCCTCCTGGGCGCCTGGAAACAAAGACTCGTTGCTCCAGCCCTTGCAGTGAACATCCTGGGTGGCTTCTACCTCAGAGGCTTTCGAGATGGGATGGAGCGTTCTGTGCCTGTCCGCTCCCCGCAGCCGGGGAGAAGTGGAGCCGCTCCCGCCGTGGCCGGGGATGGCAGGGGTGGCAGAGCGATGAGAAGCAGCCGCTGTCCCTGGGGCCCTGGGGCGGGCTGGGGACTCACTCACAGGAGGCTCTGGGGCTGGAGTGACCAAGAGGACTGCTGCAGCCGCCCTGCGCTCTGTGCGGAGCGCTCCCACAGCGTGAGGTTAAGCAAACCCCTCTAGCGGATCACAAGATCTCTGCGGTTGCCCTTGAGTGTGGCGGGGCAGATGGTGCGGCGTGGCTTCCCTCACAGCCTGCTTAACCCCGGGCTGCCTGTGTCAGCCGTGACTCAGATCCCAAAGCAGTCGGGTCCCGGGAGCGACGTGCCTGGTTAACCACGGAGCGGGCAGAAGCCTCCGTTCGCTGTTCATCTGTCCTTGTCCGAGACTAGGGCAGTTCTCAGGGAGCCTCCCTGTGGGGTGGACCCGGAACCTTGAAACTCACTTGGCTCTGCTCAGAACCTGTAGCTCACTCCTCAGTCCTACTGAGTCAAAACGATGGAGCAACAGCATCCGCCTCAGCTGGTCCTTGGAGAAAGAATAAATGTGGATACACTTATTCTTAGGGGTGACACTTACCCCTCACTCCACGGGCTCTGTTTCCCAGTATTCACAAACACCCTACCCATCAGGAACTCGGACGCACCAGGAAGCTCCAAATGCCTGGACCACAGTTGGCTCTTTTAAAACTAGGGAGTGAGGGGCTGGGGATTTAGCTCAGTGGCAAAGCGCCTGCCTAGCGCAAGGTCGTGAGTTTGGTTCCCGGTACCGGAGAAAAACCAAAACCAAAAAAAAAAAAAAAAAACTAGGGAGTGGATTCTAACTTTCCTTCCTTCCTTCTTCCTCTTTCCCTCCCTCCTTCCCTCCTTCTTTTCCTCCTTCCTTCCTTCCTTCCTTCCCCCTTTCCTTCCTTCCTTCCTCCCTCCCTCCCTTCCCACCTTTCTTTTCTTTCTGGAGGCAGAGTCTTACTCTGTAGTTAAGGCTGGCCTTGAGCTCAGGGTGCTGCATCCCCCTGCCTCAGCCTCCAAGTGCCGGCTCACAGGCGTGCGGCACCAGGCCCGGCAGATTGTTTAGGTTCCTGTCTAGCTCTAATGTACTTCCTCAGATGGTCTGCACTCCATCGAGTTCTGACTTCTGACACTCTCACCTTTGGGCCCTAGAGTGAGGGCAAGTGGCCTCTTGGACTTGAGCCTTTTTGTGCTGGGGTGTAAACTCTGTAAGATTCCCCTGAAAAAGTTCCTGTCCCTGCCTTTTTGCCTGAAGGAAGAGAAAGATTTGAAGAATCCAGCAGTGTCATCAGGTTCAGAACACGGATTTTAAAGCACATTTTGGGGAGCAGTCTTGTCTCCCCTCCACGACGGGGGACTGCGCGGCACTCCTGCGTGGCTGCCCGGCACCGCTCACGGCACTCTGCCACATGCTTCCTGCCCACAGTGAGCGGCTGGACTTGGGGGCCCTGTGGACTCACGCTTCCAGGAGGGGTACCGAGGCTGGGCCGGCGTTGTGCGCTGCATGGCCCTGGGGACCTCGCTGGCTTTGGGCCGGCAGAGCTGTTGTGGTAGCGGGTCAGGCTCCCCTGGCCTGGGCTCTGTCCTGTCTTGAAGACCACAGAGGTGACGTGGTGGGAGAAAGACACAGCAGCGCCTTTGTCCTGCTAGAGGGTGAGGGGGACCGAGAAGTATGGCGAATGTTACATAAAAAAGCTGTGACAGCACGAGACACACTGCTACTCAGTCCCCTGGAACCCTCTGCCTTGCTTTGGACACACTCGTGCCACCCTGCCTGCCCCTCTCTGAAGCAGCTCTGGAGTCCTCTCTCCTGAGTGTCTTTCCCAGGTGTGATCAAAAACATGGCAAGTGCTGCTGCTGAGTGCCGTCCAACGGAAAGGCAGCTCATAAAACAGGACACCGCGCCCTCCCCCAGCTTGTTCATCGCTTCGGGCACCGTGCAACAGCGGCTCTTCCCACACATCAAAATAAGCAGGAAAGGGAAATGCTCTGAGTCCATTCAGGACATAGAGGGAGCTACAATGTTACAACTAACGACACTGCAGAAAGAGGAGGTCAGAGTTGCTTCAGGAGCCGGCAAGCGCGGTGGGAAGTGTGTCCGGAGTGGGAGTGGGTGTTTGGAAGGGAGGTGGTGTGTGTGTATCTTCCACTGTAATACTTCTTTCAAAAACTAGACACCCACTGTATTTTTCCATCACAACTCATAGACAGGCGACTTACGCCAAACTTCTCCTGTCAGAATCAAAACCACTCAGACGGATTCCACAAGCGGAATAAAGAATTAGAAAATCAACTCCTCCTGTCACCTAACAATGAAAAATCGCCATAGACTGAAAAAACAAAAACATCGGCTTAACCTTTCTCCCATCCTGGAGCGCTCCGCCGGGAGTGGTGGAGACCAGCTGTCCCTCTGGCCAGAATCCTCCTTCTTACATCAGTGAGGCCGCGGCTGGGTTGTAAATCCACGCTGCTGTAGATGCTCCTCTGGCCGGAAGTATGCAAGTGTGAATGAGTTTTATCAAGTCACAAAAAATAGGGAAACTCCACTCAGCGTTTCCCTGGCTGGCCACTTCCCCATTGGTGCTCACGCCCGGGAGGAAAAGGTGTGTCCTCCGCCACCGCACGGGGACAGAGGGTGCAGCAGGAGGAAACCTCGTTGGCCCGGAAGGTATAAATCCCTGCAAGTGCCTGGCTCCACCGCAGGAGAAAGTCTGGCCTGGCAGCGGTCCCGGCAAAGGAAGGGACAAAGTGCAAGAATGCTGAGCTGCAGGTAAGAGGTCAGGATGGAGGGAGAGGGAGGGGGAGGGAAGAAGAGGGAGAGAGAGAAAGAGGGAGAGGGAGAGGGAGAAGGAGGCGGAAGAGAGGGAGAGAGAGACACAGCAGAAGGAAAGAGAGACAAGGGAGAGGGACAGAAAGAGAGAGGAGAGGGGGGAGGGAGGGTGCGGGACGCAGCGGGGCTCGGAGCCTTACACAACTCCCCAGCTTCTCCTGACCTCAGCGGTCCCTCTGGGCGAGCTCCTCACTGATGACCTTTACCTGTGTCAAGGTGACCTAAAACATTCCTTGACCTCTCTGGGCCTCAGTTTCTCTATCAAAGAGGCACAGGGTCATGGGGGGACCTGGCCCAGGAAAGGGACTGGGCCCTGCGTGTGGGGATCCCCCTGCACAGGGGGGTCTTTCTGGCATCGTGTGCGGGTGGGCGGAATGCACCCAGTGGGTCACGTGTGCGCCCTGCAGGCGGCGGCCAGTTCTGAGTCCGGCGGCCAGTTCTAAGTCCAGCGGCCCTTCGGGGGTGGCGTTGTGCAACCCCTCTTGATACCACAGTGTCCCCATCTGAGTGTGAGCCAAGCCACCAAAGCCTGGTGTGGAGCGGGCGCTGCAGTCGGCTCCTCTTCCTGGTTGGACCCCTCCCTCTCATTCTTTTTTGGGGGTGCAGCCTGTTCTTCCAGCCACAGCTCCCCAGGATTCCTCTGCCCATGCCCCCACTCTGCGTCCTGACAGGGTGGGATCTTAGTCAAAACCCTTCATCTCTCTGCTTCTTCTTGGGTAAACTGAGGCAGTGGCACATTTGTCGTCCCCCCCCCCGTGCTCTGACTGCTGGGCACCCTCCCCTCCCCCTCAGCCCCATCTCTGTCTCTAGAGGGGAAAGGGGCTTGGCCTGCCCTCAGCACCCACTCAGCCAGCTTTTCTCACTCTCCTCAGATCTGCAGCCCCACTGCCTCACTGCATTTTCTTTTCCAGCTCTCAGCTCCCTGGCTCTGAGAGGGAAGGGCATCAGGCTAGGGCATGGGATTGTAGGGAGAATCCCTGCCTGCTCGGCATTTGCCCCGGGGTCCCTTCAGCTCTGCAACACCCTCCCTGCCCCCCAGGTGCCACCCAGTCCAAAGCCCAACTGTGGACCCCAAGTGAGGGACCCGGGTGCCCCGGAGCCCTGGGTCGGAGCTGGCCTGGAGCCTGCACGGTGGAGGTAGAGGCGGGCGCCCCTTACGTTGCTGTCCCCAGCGCAGACGGTGCCTCTGCCAGCGGTTCTGCCCTCCGCCTGCCCAGAACCAGCCCAGGTTGCTGCAAACCCAGCCTGTGCCCCCAGGAGTCCCGGGGGGCAGCTGCGGGTGGGCAGCCAGCCTCTCTGCATTTCTCACGTGCCCAAGACCCCAAGTGAGAACGCGTCCTCAGCAGGCAGGCCGCTGCGCAGCTCGAGCCTGGGAGGGGTTGCGTGGGGACAAGGGCCTTCTGAGGTCCGGACTGCTCGTCTGGCTGGGACTCATCCATACCCAGTGGGTCCTCATTTCTCCGCCGAGGAGGCCTGAGAATCTGCATTTCTCACTAGTGTGGTTCTAGGTGTGGTCCAGGGACCTCCCTAGGAGCAAGGCCTTAGATTCAGGAAGAGGTCTTCTCACCTGGGGACAAGAAGGAAGTTCATATGCCTGATCTCAGCACTCAGAAGGCTGAGGCAGGAAGATCGCTGTGAGCTCAAGGCCAGCCTGACTACATAGCTGTCTCAGAAAACCTAACCAAACAACAAAGAAGCAACCGCAAAGCTTTAGGGGACTTTCACATTTTTCTGGACCTAGCGTTCCTCACAGGGCTTGTTTAGTGTGTGCAGGGGGCAGAATCCCAGGATGACTCCCACTGAGTCATGTGTCATAAAGTCCTGGCCCTTCCGGGAGTGGGGATTGCACGCCCGTGCACTACACTGCCTTCTGTGGTCAGGGCAGGGAAGTGGGGCAGGGGCGGGGATCCTAAGCTGAGGGAGAGGAAGAGGGCGCTGTGTGCGCACCGGCATCTCACACGGCAGCGCGAGGTCCCTGCCCAGGCCGCCACAACTCCCTGCCAGCTCCTCTTGGCCTCGGAGGAACGACCTGCCCTGTCGTGGGGAGCGTCACTGAATCCGGGTGGCCTCTGTGACCTAAGTGTGGCCCCACGGACAGCCAGCAAGAATGTGGGAGCCTCAGCACCCCAACACTGCGTCATGTGAGCTTGGACCAGGACCCCGGATGCCAGAAAGGACCTAGTGCCCGACTGCCCCAGGGTCACTCCTGGCTCTGCACCGAGATGCTTTGGAGGCCCAGCCTGGACATCTGGCCACAGCCAGCTGGGCCAAGGTACGGGGCACATGGTCCTCACGGTTCCAGCTGGAAGATGCACCCAGGTCCTATTCTTTCTTCTTGGTCACGGTGCACACTTGGCCAAGTCACACTGAGCAGCTTCAGCACTTAGCACAGGGTTTGCTCTTTTCTTTTCTTTTCTTTTCTTTTCTTTTCTTTTCTTTTCTTTTTTTCCTTTCTTTTCTTTTCTTTTCTTTTCTCTTCTTTTTTCTTTTCTTCTTTTCTTTTCTTTTTTCTTTTTTCTTTTCTTTTCTTTTCTTTTCTTTCCTTTCCTTTCCTTTCCTTTCCTTTCCTTTCCTTCTTTCCTTTCCTTTCCTTTCCTTTCCTTTCCTTTCCTTTCCTTTCCTTTCCTTTCCTTTCCTTTCCTTTCCTTTCCTTTCCTTTCCTTTTCTTTTCTTTCTGTTTATTTGAGACTGGGTCTTGCTATGCAGTTCAGACTGGTCTTGAACTCACTATGGAGCCCAGGCTGGCCTCAAACTCACAGCAACTGGCCTGCGTCAGCCTCCTGAGTGCAGGGACCCAGGCCTCACTCCTGGCTAGCCCCAGTGCTTTTCTTGCTCAAGGCTGTCCACCATCAGGTGTGTCCCACTGTGATGGCTCCACATAGCCACCCCCAGACCCGGGCCACTCTCTAAGCAGTGCCTCAGAGGCCGTCCCAGGGTCACACGGTACGGACACGGGTGCAGGTTGTTCTCGGAAGGGGAAGCAACAGCAGGAAGGGAGTGATGTCTGTCCCCAGGGCGTCAGCACATGTGGGAGCTGCGCTGGGTCACTGGCACGTAGTGTTCCCCATGGCCACAGCTCGGTGGGGGTGGGCTGGAGAGGAGCTGCCCGGGGTCATGGGCAGCTGGACCTGGCACTGCCGCTTCCTGTCTCGTGCCTGACTTTCAGAGGGCAGGGAAGTGAAACTGTGGGCCCCAAAGGCGAAAAGGACCAGCTGGTGGTGGGCGTGAGCATCCTTGCAGGAAGGATGCTGGGCAGATGGATGCCCCTCCAGGCGTCCGCGTGGGAGCCAGCTGTGGGCAGCCGGGAGCCGAGAGGAGACACAGGGCCTGCGTGTGGGGCCCGAGTGTGGAAAGCGACTTCCCCATGTGCCAGTACAGAGCCCAGGGTTTCCTGGGGGGACTTCCTAGGTCTTTGGGACCCCTGGAGTGTGGACGTCTGCAAGCCACAGGCAGGGCTTTCTAATGGCAAAGGATTTCCCACACAGGGTAGATAAACATTCTTCGGCTTCTTAGTATTTTCTTTCCTTTGAAAGAAGAAGGCTTCTGTCTTTCCTCATGGCTACTCTGGGTGCAGGGCTCAGGCGGTGGCAGCTGCTGCGCTCAGGAACACCAGGGGACCAGCCAATCTCCTGGGGACGGTTTCCAGAGGGTGGGACATCCTCTAAAGCGGGAGAAAATCCTACCTGTTCTGCCTGCTTAGCATTCTTGGAAGGAAATATTTCTAAAGCAGATGTAGCATGTGAAAATGTATACTTGCCCCCCACATGTGCCTGTGTTGATTTTTCTATAAGAATCTCACTTGGCTCTCAGGCCACTGTCCCTTGTGAGGGAACTTGCCTGCCACTGCATGTCACTCTGAGTCAGCTGCTCAATCTGCTCCTCTTGGATTCCCCACGAAGCTCTCCCTCCCGGTGCCCGCCGGCCCCTCCTTCTGCCAGGAAGGTGTGCAAAGTGGGGGAGCTGTGTCCCCAGAGAAGAGGGGCAGATGTGATCTGGGCGCCTTGCCTGGCCTGGCTCCACTCACTTGACCAAGCCTTTGGGAGCTCCAGGGAGCTGCTCTAGCCCAGCCCCTGGCTCCCTGGCACGGGGCTCTCAGCAGAGCCCCTCTGTTTCCATGGAAGGCAGCTTCCCACAGAATGAGCTCCCCGGGAAGCTGAGCGGCAGCCTCGTTTTTCTGGCTTGGTTTCAGAGTCCTCAGTGTCACTCTGGCCACATTCTGTGGGTCATATGCAGTACCAGCCCACATTCCCCAGAGGTGAGCTGGCCTCCACATCCTGTGGCCACTGGGACATTGCCGAGGGCAGTGTGGGTTGGGAGCCGCAGTCGGTCGTGGCTATCTGTGGGAACCACAGTCTCCTGTTCTGGAAACCCAGCCCTGTTCAGACCCGTGGAAGGGACGGCCTGGACGTGAGTGTCACACGTACCGTGGGCTGGGACACCAAGGACTCTCTCGCTCTTTCTGTTTTTGCTGCTTTTGCCCGCATTATATTTCAGATGGGCAAGTTTTCTGGAGGGCTAATTATTTGCATATTTGAGTTGTGTCCTACACTCCGGTCCTAAGAGGCTGAAAGCAACCTTTGGTGTAGGGGTGTACCTGCTGGCAGTGCGTCCCCAGCCCCAGCACCTATGAGCATCTTGTCCCTAATCCTGGTCACCCAGGGGCACCTCTTGGAGCCCAGGTGCCCACTGGAGGCTGAACATGCCCTGCCCTGTGCTGGTGGTGGGGGGTCAGCAGGAGAGTGGACTCAGTCCAGCGTTTGTCTGATGAAGCCCCCGACCCGATGCTTTAGGAACTGAAACCATACCCAGGACCCCGGCCTGAGGCTAGCTTAGAACCCTGGGTGTCACACCGGGGAAAGAGCTCCCCCCAGTCCAATCTAAGCATTTCAGAGATGAGGACACTGTGACCCGGATCGTGTGGGTGTCTGGCTGTCCAGGATCGCACAGCTGTAAGTGACAGAGTGACAAAGGAACGGGGTTCCAGTCTCCAGTCCCAGAGGCGCCGGTCTTCGTGGCTGCCCAAGGAACTGCGGTGCGGCTGGCAGCCTTGCATGTGTGTGCATGCGTCTCTGTGTTCTCAGGACCGTGGGTTTACGTGCTCAACACGCTTCTATCATTTGCACTTATGCACTTGGACTTAGCGACTGCATTAGGCATCGCTGTACACATTTCCAGGATTCTGACTCGCTTGGTTACTGACTGAGGTATTGGCACGTTCTCAGGCTGTGGAAACGATCAGAGTATGTTGTACGCCTGAACGACGCATCAGCCAGAGTGGATCCTATTATTTTATGGGGTGGACTCTGAATGTGCATATTTGCCCCCAGATGTGCCTGTGTTGATAGGAGCTCTCTGCCTGTGAGATACCAGGCAGAACGCAGATGGAGGAGGAGCCTGGCTTTGCCCTCAGGTCTGCCTGCTGTGTGTCCCCGACCAAGTCCTTCAGGGCCCAGTCACCTGGTTCTGCTTTGGTCACATGCTGCCACAGGCTAGCTTTGCCACTTGCTCCTTCTCTGCTGCGCTGTGCGGAGCTCTTTGCATGCTATACCATCCCGCCCTGGCGGTGCCTGTCCATATCACCGTGAGGACACGAGTCTCACACAGGCAATGCCACCCGCCAAGGCCACCTGGCTGGAGGGACGTGGGGTTTGCGCTGCGCCTTTCTGCATAGATGCCGCCTGCTCAGGGCCTTTGGAGGGGCAGACAGCTGGTTCCCACTGTGCAATCTGACCATGGGAGGAAGTTTAAGAGGAGGCCAGCTTGGGCTCCAAATTGACATGGAAGTTTCAGGTGGTGGAAAGCTGCCCAAGAGGGAAAGCGCCCTCTGTAAGGGGCATGCTGGGCATGCTGGGCAGGCTGGGCGAGGGAGCCCAGCAGGCCTTGAGGCTTCCACAGTGACTCTGGCTCCTGCTCCTCTTTATCCCCCACAAGCTCTGTGGCCTTGGACAACTTACTTGATGTCTCTGACTGTCTATTTCTATGCCTTGTTTTTAAGGGGGATGGGGTGCTCCAGCAGGCACACATGTTTTATCCTCGGGAATAAACCCGTCTTCTGTAACCTCTGCTGAGGGAAGTCGAGCTGGGGCGCTGTCCAGGGCCTCACAAGCACTGCTCCCCATCTGCCACTCTGGCGGAAGTGGCTGCTCTCCTGTGCTAGTGTGGTCTTGTGGGCGTCCGCACAGGGCGGGCCAGAGGCAGGAGGAGGTGGCAGAGCTTTGGTTGGTGGGCCTGCCTGGGCTGTAGAATAACCCTGGTTTCCTGGGGGCAGGCAGTGTGGACAGAGGACTTGGGTTTGGGGCATGGAACCAGTCTGGTTCACAGCGTGGCTCCTCCTCTGTGGCTCTTGGGGCAGAAGTTGGTGCCAGTCAGAAGGTGTGATGGGGAGAGGGTGCTCTTGGTGACAAGCGATATTTGTTGGCAGAAAGGAAAGCAGCGTGAAGCCCTCGGCTGGTGTCACACCTTAGCTCTGTCCTTCTGCGATGTGGCCCAGTGTGACCGCAGGTTCCCCCCGGGAGGGGTCTTCCAGGCGTGGCCTCCTGTGTGGGAGCCTGGTCCCCTGCCTCACCAGGGGCGGGGCCCTGTGCAGGAATTGTCTATTGTCCTTACTCGGCCACGCAGCCTAGGGTAAGCCCCACTGAGTGCCCTGAATTCTGGGGACAAAAACCAGCCATAGGATGAGACCCATCTGTGGATAAGTTTCTGAGGGTTCTGCTTGAGCACCTGAAGTTTTCAATAAAAGAAGTTGCAAAGCTGGCTGGATATTTCTCTATATCCAAACCTGGGGAATCTTCCTCTCCTTTGTGCTTTTAGAATTCTGTTATTTCCCAAGACTTCATTTGAAAAACGCTTTTAATATTGTATTGATGTTTGCTAGAAAAGCCCCAGGATTAATTTAGATGTAAATATGTATCTTCCTGTAGTTTCTGATGGCTTCATAGGACATGCGTGAACTGTGCGTGGGTTTTCAGGAATCTGCTCTATGCACTGGCAGTGACTAAGCAGTAGGCGGAGGACCCAATTACTGACGAACAGCATTAATATTCAACACCTGCTTCTGTTTTGCTCTCTAAATGACTGTCCCGCCTGGCTCAAAGCTGGGCCAGTAGCCTAAAACCTCCCAGGGACAGGCGAGGCTAGTCCTAAAGAGGAGCTTGTTTCTTAGGTGAAGTCAATCCTAATAAATTTGAATATACGATAGGACAAAATGTTTAATTCTTTCAATTGCTTGAAGGTTCAGCTTTGGAGCTATCATTTACTGACTTGGTCTTAATCTGTTAAAAAAATTCCCTAGATGAAGTATTTAGGGCTGAAGTTTGATGATTTCTACAACTTTCAGGTGTGTAGGGGGCCGATGGGCAGGCCCAGGGGCATAATGAACAAATCAGGGTACCTAGCATATTAATCACTTGGTATATTTATTATTTCCTTGGGGTGAAGCACCCAAGACCCTTTCCCTTTGGAATATATAGTACATTATTACTAATTATTGTCACCCTATCGTGCAGTTCGAACACTCATGCTTATTTCTTTTCTCTTGTAAGAAGAGATGGATCTGTTGATCGACCTGTCCCCATCTCTGTCCCCTCCCCTCTTAGTCTTTGGTGGCTACTCTCTCATTCTTTCTTTCTAGGTGGTCAGTACATTTCAGAGTCGGCACAGAAGTGAGGTCATGAGGCATTTGTCTTTCTGAGTCTGGCTGACTTTGCTTAACATAATGTCCTCCAGTTCCATCCATCTGGCTGGAAATGACAGGATTTCACCCTGTTTTAATTGGCACAACAGTATTCCATTGTGTATGTATACACCGTATACTCTTTATTCATCCTTTGTTACACACTTTAGTTGATTCCAAATCTTGGCTGATGTGAATACTGCTGCAATAAATGTGGGTATGCAGATGTCTCTTCCATGTACTGACTTCATTTCTTTTGGATGTTTATCCCAAAGTGGGGTTTTTAAGTCTCCTTTTATGGATACTTTCCAGGACTGTCACGCAGTTCCACTACATTTCATTGGTCAAAATTATATCACACGACCCCTCCTTGTTGCAAGGGAGGGTGGGAGCTGGTCTTAGTGTGGGTCAGTCACATCCCAGTTGAGAGTCAGAAGTTCTATTACTGGGTTGGATGGGTGTTGGGAAAGGAAGCCAGCAGCCTCTACCAGGGGTAGGGTGTTTTTGAAGAGCAAGAACTTGAGCCTAGATGCCCTGCGTTTAAGTGTCAATCCTGCTCTGTAGTATGGGCTACTGAATTCCCCTGAACTGATGGAGACCAGCAGCTGGCGTATGTAGATTCTCTGAGTGGATGTCAGGCCGAGCCTTTGAACTTCTTCCACCTCTTGTATGCATCCACTGTAAACCTGGTGTGAAATCACATCGTGGAGATAAAATGAAGGAAAATATCCAGTATCTGCCACAGTAGCTCTTCCTGTCACAGTTGTATCTTCTCTGGCATCTTTGACTTCATGTTCTTTTTCAAGTATGCGGTCTCGGTTAGGCATACTGTGTTTACCTCCCATTTCTCTCACATCCTGGCTAGGAGACCAGTGGGTCTGGCTGGGGCCGCCTCAGGTGGGGACGTGGACACGGATAGGTGTCCAGAGTGGCGAGGCCGTTCTGGCTGGTGATGATGTGACTTTCGAGGGTGGGCTGGAGGCGAGGTTGTGCGAAGTATTTGTGCTGCTGAAGCATGCGAAGGCGAGAGACAAGTACAAGCAGGAAATGCTTCGGGAGACAGTGCCAGGTAAAACACAGAGCTGCGGGGAAAACCTCAGTTCCTGGCTCCTTGTCAGTGGACGGAGCTGAGGTTAAGATTCTGTTCGAGTCCATGGACACTGATGTGTCCCCAGTGATGAATGAGGGTTTCCCCGGTGACCTCCGTGCCAGCTGTGCACTGGCCCATGGCAAGTCTGCTGGGTTTACTTCAAGTCATTCATAAGAGGCAGAGGAGGGGCGGTGCTTCCGGTGTCGCTTTCCCCCTGGTTTATGTACCTCTGCGGTGACTCTGGCGGACTTTCCATCATAATGTCCCCTGGCGCTTTCCGGGGCTGAGCACTGAGTAGCCTGTGAGACCCGCAGAGAGGCAGACGAGGGCAGGCGTGGGAGCTGGCACCATGGTGCCTACTTCTCCACCCTTCCTGACAACCATCTTCCCCACCCCGCTGATGGATGGCAGGGTTGACCCTGGGACTTGCCCATGGAATGTGGCACGACAACTGCGAGCCGCCCCGAGCCTGGCCTTGCCGTACTCTGCCCACATGGCCTGTGTTTTTCCCAGAGAAGGTCCCCTCCCGGGTGGCTGACGGTCCAAGGAGGGTGGGAGACTCATAGTGCCGACTTGGCTTCCTCCAGGGACTTGGATGCAAGTCCAGCTCGGCTCGGTCTGTGTTTACCAACCTCCATCTCACCG